TCAATGTACGTATATCTTCAACGCACTTCATTTTAGGACATCAATCCAGATACTTATTGGACAAACCCTGTATGACAGCCGATAGCTGCGAGACTCGAATTCACCTGGATCGCCCATTGTCCCGTTTAGGCTTAACCGTGCAATAAATTGTGCGAAGGCGAACTAACGAAAAGCTAATTACCTTAGATGACCCTTTTTACTAGACATTAAACATTCTGGTATTGCACACGGACTTAGATGACCCTTTTGCCTAGACATTGAACATTCTGGTATAGGACGTACCAGCAGCCGTTTTACAAAACAACGTTCGGAGCCGTAAAACAGTTCATTTCTCGTACCGACTGCTTTGTACTTTCGTGCTATCTGGCCAGGTATTGACGAACGGTATGTGACCAGTGGACATAAAACCGGGTGCAATACGCCCGTCATCCAAAAGTATATTATAATGTAAGTCGCCCAGTTGCTTTAACACTTTTCCGAAAACCCATTTAACATTTCCTATGTAATTTCGACAACTGACTCTCTTTCCCTCCTTGAAGATAATGGAGGGCGTGTATGATCTTTCTTTTGTAACTGTAGGACGTAATAAATCTAATCGCGTACGTAATTTTCTCGAAAATAATATTTCCGCGGGTGATATTCCTGTTTTCGCATGTGGCGTATTTCTGTATTGTATTAACAATTGTTGTAACGCTGGTTGTATATTCGTACGATCCGCTTTCATTCGCTTTAACGAATTCTTTAATATTTGTACATAACGCTCTGCCTGTCCGTTTGTGGCAGGATGGTATGGAGCAGTGAGCCTTTGCGTAATTCCATTTACTTTTAGGAAATCTGTAAATCCTTTGAAACAAACGCTCTTCCGTTATCGGAGACCAAGTACTGGGGCAAACCGTAAATTGCAAATATCTTTCTACAAATTTCTAGCGTAACTTGTGAGTTTATATTATTAACTACGTGTATTTCTGGCCATTTAGTGTATGCATCTACCAGAACAAAGAAATAATGCCCTAAAAATGGTTCTGCAAAATCTACGTGAACTCGTTCAAACGGAATGTTAGTTGGTTCCCAAATATGGTGTGTAATCTGAGTTGGATTATTTTTGTAAGCGTTACATTCGGAACAATTTCTAACTAAATTTTCGATGTCATTATCTATCTTATTCCACCAGACATATCCTCTGGCTAAATGTTTCGTTCGGACCACACCAAAATGTCCTGAATGTAATTCTTGTAATATTTTTTTTTGTAATTTTACCGGAATAACTACCTTATGATCTCTAAAAATCACGTTGTTGAAAAGCGTAAACTCTGTGAGCGGAACTGAATGAAATCTATTGTTCTTCAAGTCCCCTCGTCCTGTTTGAATGCATTTTAATAATTTTGACAATTCTTTATCCTGTAATGTAGCTTGTGCAACTTGTTCTGCTGTAACCGGCAATGTATTGAATGTAGCCTTGTGAAATTCGTCGATTGTATCGCATTCGTATGTATCGGTAGCTGGAATTGGAAGTCTAGATAAGCAATCCGCATTTGCATATAATTCTGACTTTCTATATTGTATATCATAGTTAAAACTTTGTAAAAATAACGCGTAATGCTGCATTCTCGCGGCTGTAAATACTGGCAAACTCTTAGCGGGTGAAAATATTTGTGTAAGCGGACGATGGTCTGTAATTAATGTAAATTTAAATCCCTGTAAATATTGGTAAAACTTTTTAATTCCGAAAATTATTGCAAACGCCTCTTTATTGATTTGTGCATAGGCCTGTTGCGTTTTTGACAATGCCCTCGACGCGTATTGTATAGCTTTTTCTGAACCGTCCGGAAAAATATGCGAAAGAACTGCTCCGACTCCATATGGGCTTGCATCTGTCGCCAATGTAACTGGAAGTTTAGAGTCGAAATATACTAAACATCGCGGACTTGTAAAAGCTTTCTTCGCAGCTTGAAAACTTTTTTCGCAGTCGGGAGACCATTCATACTTTACTTCCTTTTGTAATAATGTATTCAACGATTTCAAAATTGAACTTAAATTCGGAATGAATCGATCGTAGTAATGTATCATGCCCAGGAAACTTCTTAATTCTGTAATATTTGTGGGCCTTCGCATATTATTAATTGCCTCTATTTTATCTGGCGCTTTATGTATACCGCTTTTACTAATTATGCAACCACAATATTGTATTTGATCCGTAAAGAACTCACTTTTATCTACATTAATTCGTATATTGTATTTTTGTAATCGCGTGAAAACTTGTCGTAATTTTTGTAAATGGTCTCTCGAATCTACGCCTGCAATACGTATATCGTCCAAAAATACTACGACACCCGGCATATCTTTTAAAATATTTTCAATTGTGCGTTGCCACATCGCTGGCGCTGATGCCACTCCGTAAATTAGTCGCGTCGGTTTGTACAGTCCTTTGTGTGTATTGATTGTAAGTAATTCGCGGTCCTCTGGTCGTATTTCTAACTGTAAGTATGCTTGTAATAAATCAATTTTTGAAAATACCGTATCGCCCGCCATTTGTGTTAACCATTTGAGTGCGGGAGAATTTTCTTATGCATATGCTAAAAGTCCGGGATGTAATGCGTAGTATTTTTTTTTGGGAAACAATGAAAATGGTTATAATTAACACTAATTGTTATGTAACATTCGTCTCTGTCGCCATTGTAGTGAAGAGCGAAATTGAAAAAAATTTATTGAAATATTCAATTGGTTTCGCATCAGGAGGAGGGGCATGCTTTGGTCCAGGTACTTCAGAAAAAGTATTCGATTTGTTCGAAAAAATTGTATCCACGGGTAAAAACTCATCAATAATATCGTAATCTCTTAGAACGACATCGTCACCGGAGGTACTTGCAGTTACTTCATCATCATCACTGCTATCACTAATAACTCGTAATCTCTTAGAACGAATGATGATGTCACTTCCACTATCACTTTCAAGGTCATTACTATACTCTTCATTATCACTTCTCATAACATAGTCACTTTCAAATGAATCAGGTCATTTTCAAATGAATCAGAACTTGACATGGGTTATTTCGTAATTATCAGTATAACACTTGGTAAAAAAATGAAAACAATTTCCAATTCCTATAAAACAACTGCTACTGATATCACTACATCTGCTCTCAATAATTGCGTGAAGTATACTAACCAACAGCAGCGTCTTCGCATTCTCGATACAAAACAAGAGAAGTGCTATCGCGCTGCGCCGTATTTTTGGCATACGACAAGTGAAGCGTGATAGCGCTTCCCCGGACTCAAACGGTTAAGAGTTCGTCTGGCGTCGGTAACGGGTGCTTATCGATTTTTAATCTTGGGTTTAATGTAACGCTGTAGTCCCCGCATAACCGTATCGCACCATTCTTCTTTAGAACGGGCACGATAGGTGTAGCCCAATCCGCGCAATCGACTTTTTCCAAAATTCCTGTATTTACCAGTTTCTCCAGTTCTTCCTCTACTTGAGCTCGTAGGCGAAACGGTACCTCCCTGGGTTTGCAAAATACCGGATAAACGTTATCTTTTAGATTTAATCGCGCCTGTATTTTCGAAATTTTTGATACTGTTGGATTCGTAATTTCTCTAATGTAAGACGAGGGAATAAATGAGACGACAGGGGTTAAGTCCGATTATGAAAAATACTTTATATTCTATGAATGATTGTCGGGGGAGAAGTGACGGCTCTGAGCGTTCTTTCCAGAATGCCCTCTTCTCGTTCCGCGAGGTGTCCCAGTCCCCGCGAAACTTGGGCCTTGGGGTTGTTTTTATGACCCGGATGTCACCGCGTCAGACCTCGTTGCCGGGCGGTCAGGGTCAAGATGGCCATGTGTCGCTTGTCCCTGTTTTATTGGGGGTGTCGTTGGGAATTTCCCAACACTAAATTTCCGCAATAATTTCTGCAATTCGGCTTTCTCCATAACCTGTAATGAGTGTATCGACTGCAAGATATTCGTAAAATTTTGTACTTTGTCATGCTCTTTCATCTGCAATATCCACTCTCTACCGAGTAGCGGTTCGCGATCTTGCGTGGTAATGTAAATGTTTAGTTTACGCAAAGTCTCACCGCTCCTCACCTTAACAGTAATACAGGGTGTCCCGTAACTAGTGTTACTCCCTGAAAGGGGTGGTAGAGGACGTCATTCTGAACAAGATTTTCCTTTGCAAAGATGGGGTTTGAAGCTTCGTTTTTGAATTATTAAGGAAAAACACGGACCAATCAGAGCGCGAGGATTTCGCGCGTCGAGAAGCGGGAGCGACAGCTTGAAGTCCAGCGGCTGAACGCGAACGCGATCAAGAGTCTTTGCCTCGGAACAGTCTAAACATCCAACGCGAAGTCTTTACATCGAAACTCAGTTAAATAACGAACAGAATAATTAAAAGTATTGTTTATTTATTCATTCATCATGAGGGAGGAACGGAATTAATTATGCGTAATTAATGCAAGTTATGCAAATGAAATTTATTGAATATTGCCATTCGTTATCGATGAAGAATGTGAAATTAAATATTGAAAATTTTTTATTTTACTTCTAACAATAATATTAGTCAATGAATTTACTCATTTTAATGAAAAATAATTATTCAGTTCGCAAAAAAAGAGTTTCAATTTAATATCTAATAAATGTATTAACCGGTCTACCTTACATTCACAGGAAATTTATTAAAATAGCACTCACCCATTGTTTGAAAATAATCCTGTTTGAAAATAATCCTTCAATG